CCTTTGTGCATATAGTATACTTTTTCATAGAACGCGTTTATACGCTTGTGATTATATGACCAAGTATTGTTATACATTACATGCCAAATTACAGCAGTGTTGTACCATCTGGTGTAATCATACTGATGTTTACACAGTGATTGCCATTGATTGATATTATCTAACTTATACATTGCTTGATGAGGACAACTACCCACAAGAATTTTAAACCATTCCACATCAAAGTGCTCAAGTTTGTTTACTATCACATGTTCATTAATAACATTAAAAGCCTTTTCTTGCACATATAGATGCCTGATATGCCTAGTATCTTGTTCAGCCTCTTTCTTATTCCCCAAACCTACATGTGCCACTAAACTTAAATACCAAGCATCATCATAAATCTTGTTTACTTCAATTGCTGTCTCAATATCAAACAGGGCTTTTCCAAAATTTTTCATTTTTGACTTGATCTTTGCTCTACTACACAGTGCCACATAATTTGTGGGATCAACTTGTAATAATTGTGTATAGATGTTCAAAGCTTTTTCCAACTTATTATTTTTATATGCACTTTTAGCTTTTTGAAGCAATTTATCTATATTTGGTGCTGTTAATGATTTCCAAATTGAAATCCAGGTAGATCCAGAATCAGACTTCCTCATTCTGTTCTTTCTTTTTTGTTTTTTGAGGTCATCACATTCATCAAATATTTTTGCATCTGCATTATTTCCAGCATTAGCATCATACATGTCTTGATCCTCAATGTTTGTAAGATAATGTTGAACATTATTGTATATTGTTTGCTGTGGCATATAATACACTTTGTCCTTTCTAATTTCACTTCTGCAATAAGGACACTCTAGGTTGTTTAATGATAAAAGAGCCTTTGAGCTAATAATATGTTGACAATTAAGCTGATAAAAGTCACCAACTGCTTCACAGACAATAGCACATGTCAGATCTTCTGCAATATAGCCAATTGGGCTTTTCTCAACATATTTTCCTTTTCCTTTCCCTTTGTCTTGTTGTTTACTACTTTGAACATTTACTGTTAATGAGTATTTTGAAATCATTTTTGATTCAACTTCTAATTTCTCTTTCACATAATAGTATATGCTGACCAATCTTGGTATATATTTCTCATCACAACCAGAAATATCATCAGGTGTTGTAACAAATAATTCACTGTTTTTGACTTCAAGACTCAGTAACACTTCAATGGATTTAAATTGAACAAATTCAGTGGTTGCATTATTCAATGAGTCTAATGCTATGTAATAACAAACAGGTTGTGTAGCTGTAGAAAATGTCTTTTGGATAAGTTGCTGGATAATATCTAAAATGCCAAACCAGTGTTATCACTAATATCCTGATTCTCTGCTGCATCTTTAGCATAACATAAACTGATATGGTACCAGAGATACTCAAGAAGCACTCTTTCTTTGAAACTTGTTGAAATGGCAGACTCTTGTTCACACCATTTATCAAGACTATCTTGCAATATAATAAGCCTTCTCCAGATTGTATACCAAGGCTTGCCTGATGGTTCAACATAAAATGCTTCTGTAAAATACTTCCAGGATCTCTCTATGTTGAAATCACCAAGAGGAACATCAACTCCTGTAATTAATTTAATCCCAACCTTTGCTAATCCAGGAACAGCAACAAGTAAACCTTTTAATGCTGCAATGGCTCGATCAATACTTGTCTGATATAAGGTTTTACCATCAGAAACAGCATTTAATGTATTCTTAATAAGTTTGAGAAGGTATCTACTATTGTAATTGCATTTGAAGCTTTTGATAGTTTTGTCTGATTTATTAAATTCTGCATAATTAGGTTTCCAAATTTCTCCTCCATGCTGCATAATTTTTGAATGTGCCTTCTTGTACATAGAAGTGGCCTGTCTAATGTTATCAAGAAACCGACATGTAAATCGACACTCATTCTGAAACATTTGCTCAAGTATAGTTATAATAATTCGTAATTGCCATTCCAATTTAATTGTTGTTTCTCCTGAGAACACTTCATCAAACTCTTGAGAACATAGACTCTTCAAAGTAATATCTAACATATCCACAGTCACAGAATCTCCCTTATTTTCGAGAATGTACTTGAGTGCGTAAATGTTCTGAGAATATTTCAAGTTCGTTAACAGTCTCTCTATTTGCGCATCTGGCAATATAAGCCCTTGTTCCATTAATTGAAGTATAATTTTAGGAAAACTGCCTCGATTTACAACGTTTCTTGGTGTTGATGTAGAAGATATCATAGAGGAAGCACTAGCTGTGGGGAAGTGGTCTGGTGCATAGCTGGTTTTTGAACTAGAACGCATCGAGTCAACCATAAAGGAAATTGAGCTATCGGATTTCTACAAAGTAACACGTAATAGTTAATAAATGAGCAAGTAGAGTATTTTCGCATATTCGTTTGCCTTCCTATACATACTTCAAATGCCATTGTGAAGAATAGTCACTTTCTTACTAACGCTCGATGGTCAATCGACATATTCCGACGACGGTTTATATTGTTTATTCCATATTACTATTGTAATTGGCTAAAATTCGCGTGTGTTATATTATTTGCATGGTATGACAAGATGCGATGTCATACGTGTGCTCTAAAGAGACAAAATATCACTCCGAATAATTTTATTATTCGACTATTACGCTATTCAATAACCAATCTTCAATTGATTATCAGGAAAAATAGGGGGGTTTTTTATAGCATAGAGGTAGGATAAGTTTATGCAAGGTTATTCGGCAACGTTTTCTTCTTCTTTTTTTAATTAACAGTTATTCCTTACTATCCTCTTTAAATAACTTTTACATCTTATCAACAGCTACTCGAAAGTGCACTATGTCATTTTAACATGCAACTTGTTCCGAAAGGATGTCTAAAAATTTTTTTGATCGTCCGCATTGTTGCCCTTCTGAAAATGCAATATGTGTTCAGACTCAGTAAGTTGGTAATACTGAGTATACAACTTTTATACTCAACACTACACTAATAATATAAGGTGTCAGGCTTATGACTATATTTTGTCAAGTTATTTTTGCCAGAATCATACCATACATAGCACTGTTGCAGAATTATTTCGACGCAACGAGCGAATAACGATACTAAGTTCGATTATAATAAATTGATAGTTGATTTAAAACAGCCAAAACTAATGCTCTTGTCGTGCCGACTATCACGGGAGAGCAGGTAATAATCGACACTAGAAATTCAGCTAGTTTCGGTAGAGCGTGGCGCCATCCTTCTCTAGGTAAACCTCGGGTTACAGTTAGTGACCTTGTCCAATCAAGACTTTACGAAATTCACGTCGTAGAGTGACACTAATCCTGGATATATTAATTGTACTCGAGTAATTCTGTCGACTCCTAGGACGAGATTACTTCCTAGTTTGTCGTTGGGGTACAATAGTATTGTAATTATAATAATGCGCATCTACATAATTATCATAATTTGCCACTCGAATAATCACGGGACAAAAGACGATTATTCTTCTTCGATATAGGAATTAGCGGTTTCTCAGCTATACCGATAAGTTACCGGGGAATGCATCATTAACAATGCATTTCAGAGTATAAAGAACTACTCGTTTATTTACAATAAAGGAATCGAAAGTAATTAGAACATTCTAAACATGCGCTGACACTCTATCTAACTGAATTCTACGTTACTTATATATATCCTTCGGGCGGATTAATTGATCTATTTTTAGCTGCTATTACTAATTATCTAAGCTATTGTTACAGCGATGGATGCTGTATCGCTGCCAAATTACTTTTATATTATTATTATTTCCGTACTATTGTGTCGCTGCTGTAGTAATGCAGAAATTTACGTTATGCAAATCACGTCCAAGGTCCCCAAATGCCCAATAAATCAGCAGGATAATAACACAATAACATAATTCGACAGTTAAGGCTCTTTCAGTGCACCTCTTTTTCGTTTTACAATACATGCACCTCACAAATACAATGTTGATTTAATGAAGTAGATGTATTAGTATGCGTGATTTATAGTATATAATATACAGTACTGCAATTACGTCGGAGCTTTCTGCCAAGACTAGCTAAATACCAAGTGCCGGTTATTATCTGCTCTCCCGTGATAGTTGGTACGACAACTGCCAATACTAAGGTTAGAACCATGTGTCTTAGCTTCATATTCACCATCACCCGGGGGCCTTATTTTTGTTATATGTATTAATCCGAGTATTAGGACTGAATATTGATATTAAATTTAAAACTCAAATTTTGGTAAGACTTGAGAATTGCATTAACCATAAGTTATTATCTATTGGTGGATTTTTTATTGAAAAATTATTGAACAAGTCAATAAGTTTTAATGATTGTATTAGCATGTCTTTATATAAATGGACTTTCTAGCAAGACTCTGGAATATGCAGGCTATAACACAATAATATTATTGAATTATGGACAGAATACTATACTTCTATGGCTCCAAACGAAAAAGCAAATATAACTCTTTTCATCAAGCCATGTGAGTTGTCATACATATATTGTATATCATACTTTATTTTGTTGATGAGTTGCAGTAATATACACCACTTAAAGAATTAACTTTTATTTGAACCTTCCTTCTATCAATATGTTGCTTCTCCCACTAGAGTTTACCAGCTCTATTCAGATTGTTTGCGCTGTTCACTCAGCCAATTTCTTAATTGTTCTGGGCAATAAAGTCAATGATATACCAATATTTCCCTTAATCATTGTCATGCTCCACCGCAGATGGCGAACAAATCTCTCGGTCAAAGTTTCTAAGCTTCTTTCGTCAATTTCCTTTTCTAGTAGAAGTTGATGGTACTTCTTTTAGTTGAGTCATAGTTATTCAGGTCAACTCCTAGCGGAATATTTAAGTAGCCAAAGAAAACTTTTCTAGGTCGCCAGGTAATTTTTCTTGTCTTCGTAATTATCAATAATTTCTCCATGATTAAAAGAATAATTTTCTGGTCAGACTTTTTTTAATTAATATTGAGCATAAGCGATTCACCGCTGAATTAGCACGTCCATGTTAACAAGATCGCAGTTTATGTCATTTGCAAATTTCTTAGATCGTCTATGCAGGATCTTGTGCGTAAATCCGTCATTTTTTGGCAGGACCCTGGACACATCCATCAAGAACTTTGTAGTAGATGATCTTCACGTGATCAAACAAATTTTGCCAAAGCATCTTTTGACGGTCTAGCCATCTGATAACAGCCATACGAGTTACCATGTTTAGTAATTACATTATGCCCCCGAGTTCAAGCTCTACGTCCAATCCCATAATTGTGTTTATTACTATAATGAACATCTTTCAGGCTTTTCCCCAAATTCTTTACGTTCGTGTCCAATGAGTGTTAGACCAGTAGTGAAGTTCTCTGAACTGGTTGGATGCTGCTAAGCTGGACAATTAAACCAATTTTTGGAAAGCCCATATTGGGGTGCACAAGTTTCAGGGGGCTGGAGCGTGGGGGCGGAAAGTCGGCAGAGCTTGCAGATGCCTTGCTCATGTGTTAGTCATGTGGTCAGTCGCGTCATTCTCTGCTATAAAATGCTCGCCCGTATTTTTTCTACCCAATCTTTTTTTGAAAAAATACACAAATCAAGGCAGCACTGAATATCCGAAAGCGGAGGGGGTGTGAAAATTGACATTTTGCTAATCGTAATTACCCAAAAAGGCAATCGCAGTACCCGAGTACAAAACGAACTTCCTGTATTCTCCCACATAACGTTGTGGGGTTTGTACAAGTAAATAAGTAGTAAAATACACAATCGTCGGTGTACAGTAGCGAAAGGGTCATATTTTTTTATAATACTTGCAGAAAAGTTTATCCATTATATCGCCTGCGATACTTAAAAATGCTAGAAGAAGAATATTTGTCTAGTTCATTCTTCGATGGCTCGGAAAACCCTCTAGCATTGAAACTGAATGATGACGTTTCCCAGACACTGTCGACTTCTCTCTTTAGTGAGCCACTCGACATTGGTATAGGTAATCCGTGGGATCGCCCTACTGGTGGTGTCGATGTCGGTAGCATACTATGTAGGTGGCTTTCCTACTTGTTCAACATTCAAATATAGCAATTTGTTGTTGTTGTTGTTGATGTAATTTAGCAGCGAGAACCTCTCAAACGATGTCTGTCTTTAATCGATAGCTGACGTATCACTGCCAGAAATATACGCACAAGCCTTCGCCTACGGGGGTCCAGTGGGTGGTACAGTTACCATCTCCACCTTGAATAGGGTTCTCAGTCTTAGCGGACTACAGCACGCTACAATCGAAAAGGTAAATTTGAAAAATCATCAAACATGCTTAATTCCAAAGTCTTTAGTTAATCCTGCAAGCCCCTCTGTCTATGGTCTTTTTTTTTTTTTTTCATTCTCAATCTTTTCTGATTCGAATTTTCACAGATATTGAATCTTGCTGTGCCTGCTACGAGTACTCATGTAAATCGGGGCGAATTCAACGCTGCTCTTGCGTTAGTTGGACTTGCTCAGAAGAATATGGGTAAAACATCTTGACTGCAAAATCTTGTTTTTGTATGACAATTATAATTACCGGGAAACGATTTAATTCTCCTTTTGACAGATGTATCGATCGACAACTTAATTGCGCGCAGAGAAGGTTTGGATTTCTTAAGAAACAAAGCAGTTTATTGAATGTTCTTACGGCATAGAAGTAACTGTATCTTTTTTTTCCTCGATTTAATAGATTTGCCAGAACCTTCACTTCCGAACGTAGAAAGTCTAAGCTATAATAGCCGTACGCTGAGCTTGTCGATGGGTAGTAGGGCACGACAACCTGCTGCACCTTCCATTGAGGCAGATCCATGGGCGGCACCAGCACCTGCTAATGGTCTCTCAGATTCGCCTTATAGCACAATGACAGAAGCTGTCGCGTCATCAATGAGTAGTCATGCCAACGATGTTTTGGTTCGAAGGGAGGAATTTCGATGGTACTTAAACCATAGAGAGCAGATTACAGTGGACTTTGCTTCTGAAAGAGAAGGTTTTCTGTTCATGAAACATGTAAACTACATTGTGGAATGTTCGGTAATAAACTTTCTGCTTCAGGAACGTTTTATTATCGACTTTTTTTGTGCTATTAGCGTATATTAACATTTGAAAAATTTTAGTTCCGGAGCACTAGAGTCATAAGACGATATAGTGATTTCTGGTGGCTAATGGAGTGTTTAGTAAAGAAATACCCATTCCGCATATTACCTGCTCTCCCGCCAAAAAAGATTGGAGGTAGGACACCTGTCAACTTCCCAATTATAGCGAAGAGCAACGTCGACATCAAGCCAACGGATGCTTATGTTAAGTAGTGAACGGATTTTATTTTACAGTTGATGAGGCCTTTCTCGAAAAACGACGGAAGGGGTTGACGCGTTTTCTAAATTACATTGCGCGGCATCCGGTGTTGAGGCATGACGTCTTGTTTGAAATGTTTATATCTGAACAGACGGTGAGGAAACTTTTAAGATGATATCTGTTTGTATACACATAATATGTATTCATTTTTTTTTCTTGGGGGCATTTTGTGTGGGTAATAGGAAATAGCCGTCTGGCGTAGGAATAACACACCGGATTTGACAGAAGAATTTCTCAAGAAACGAGTACCACCAGAATTGGAACGGCGTATACCAGACGACCTGGATAATAAGCTTGAGAAAGTCAGTAAACGTATTGATGCTTCTATTGTGCATTATCGTCACTTGTGCAGTCTATTGGAGAGAATGGCACGACGCCGTGAAGGTTAGTGGGTTATTTTATGGAACTGGATGCGTGATTGAACTATTTCTTTGGTCTATATTTGTGGTCATGAGTACAATTCTCACAATCTATTAATCGAATAGGATTGGCGAGCGATCTATCGAGATACAGTATGACATTGAAGTAAGTTTAGCGTTAAAAATTGTTACAACTTTGACAAAAGACGTTGAATGTAACCTCATTTGTCACGTCTAGTGCATTAGTTGAAAACGAGAGGAATTGCTACATAGATGACTGTTATCCATGTACCCAAGTAACATATGGCATGGAGCAGGTGTCGAGCCATTTACAGAGAGCAAGCATTCTCTTGGAAGAAGAAGTAAGACCCAATATTAATTTTTTATTGTGTACGCTACGGATGATTGACTGCTTACTTTTTTCGTTTCTGGCTCTTTTTTTTTTAGGCATCGGTGATGCTTGAGAACGTATTGGAAGGTCTGAAGCGACATCGTGATCTATTGGTGTCATTCAAGGCAAGCCCTGAACATATTTCACCGATTCAATCGACGGGTTAAACACCCTCCCCTCCCCCCTCCTCTTTTTTTTTTTTTTTTTTTTTTTTTTTTTTTTGGCTCACATTGTACGTTGTCTAATTGCAGGAAGTACTGGAGCGGAAAGACAGACTCGCTGTGGACACGACCGAAACACTTAATGATCGAATAGCGGCCAATCAGGCCAAATTATCAACAGAACCCGGCAAGGAAAACGCAGCCGTCGATGCCGAGCAATTATCAGCGAGCATACAAAAGGTATGTTGATGGTATTATCGAGATGTAGGTTTACATGCTAACTGATATATCTGCACACTCTGCATCGTTAATAGGATCGAGAAGATGTCGAAATCCAACGGCAACGCTCAGTGTTTGTTCGCCATTGCCTAAATGCTGAACTTACGCTTTTCCACAAGAGTGCCGCTTTTGTATCGCTTCTCTATCAGAATTTTGCTAACCATCAAATCAAATATGCGCAGCAATTACACGAGAATTGGAAAGCTCTTAGTCCTAAAGTTTATGAGATGCCAATTGATATGGATCTGCCCGATGCATGATGATGCTTGTCGTTAAAAATTTTTTGGATAAAGAACCCTGGCAACGAGGCTGTCATATTTAATAAAACTTTTTTTGTTTCTTTTTTCGTAATTGATCTGAACGCTGGAGTTGGTATTGGGTTTAAAACGAAACCATCAAAAAAGAGAATCCCGATATTTTATTCGATAATTCGTTTGTTATTTATTCATTTATTTATAGTCTATTCAGCCTTTACAACTCTTGCGTGAATTGATCTCAATTAGATTGTTGGGCAACATTAATGTACATGTTAAATCCAAAGATCAAATATAAATACATACAAATTTCCAAAACTATTCGATCGGCGATATAGCGCAAACATTCCCAAATTGACATCTAAAAAAAAGAAAAAAGGCAAAAAGAAGAAAAAGAAAAAAGAGTCCATGCAATTTTCATCACAAAAGAAATAAAACAGCAGTTTGAAAATCAAATTTTTTTATAAAGTAAATAGATCAAAATATAAGTTGTATCACGAACAATAAGAGGAGATAATATAATGGCAGAAGGAATGCGAGACAGTCCCCGCTAAAAAAAACAATGATGATACAACGATGCACTAAGAATAGGTCAATAAGACATAAAAGAACAAAAGGCAGGTTAAAAAATATGCTAGCAGTCATCTTAAGCAGCAGAAACGTTTCCCCAATGCCTATTTCCAAATAAGGCATGGCATCAATCGTCGACAAATAGGGGGCTTGAAAATAATGATGAATATTTCAAATCCGGCGAAGATGTATAATGAAGAGATTAGAAAATTGAAGAAAAAAAAAGGCTATATATTACAGTGTGAGAAGATGTGTGGATACAAAACTGGGTTGAAACTTTTTTCTTTTTTGCAATTTTTTTTGGTATTGGGATATATTTCAAAAGAAAATTTCGTAAATCGGAAAATCTTAAAGTGTGAAGGGAAGGAAAAAAAAAAGAGGTAATATGATAAAATGAAAACAAAAAATCAAATGCGGAAGATGTGTATATGCGTACTCGAATGGTGAAAAAAGTAATACTGCCGTTCTTTCAAAGAAACTCAGTATTGGTACATTAAATCATAAATTGCGAATGTGGATTTTTGTTACATATGCTATAAAGCCCGTTTCTTTGTCGATTCTCGGTTGTAACTATTAGACGTAAAGTATGGGAAAACCGTGTCGTTCTTTCTACTTTCTCCTCTAGCATATATTCCTGTCTTTTGTCTGTTTCTTTCATGTGTATGTCTCCAGTTACCTTTTATACTTGTCTGGTTTTAATTTCTTACTACACATCGTAGCTTCCATTACTAACGAGCTCCAACATTTCTTCAACTTTCATCCTAGCTTTACTTAGTGCCTCGCGCGCTTCACTAAACGATGTAGTTCCCAAACCACGAGACGACCCTATTGACGAGATCGACGACGCCGCTGATGATGGAGGTTTATGGCTCTTTCTGACTGGCGCACTGGTAGGTCTTCCATTTACTACTGATGCTTTTCGCGAACTAGCAGTACTACTTGATGTTCGAGGAGTTGCGGCGCCAGACCTTACTGATGATGCCTTTCTGGTAGTAGATGCCGGTAAACTGCTGCGGTTGACTTTTGATGCCGGAGTCGATCTCGTTGATTTGGCAGTCGTACTTTTGGCTCCCGTACTTTTGGCTCCTTTAGCGGCGCCTTGAATGGAGCTTTTTGTCACGTCTCGAGATGTGCGGAATATACTAAGCTGGTCAGTGAGACTTCTTAGAGTTGCTGAATCAGCTATCCGTAGCATGTCTGTTAATACAGCAGATTCCTCTTCGATCGATGTAGCATGACTACTAACGCTGGTGGCTCGGGATGGAGGTCGAGATGAATATGTAGGCGACAGATTAGGTGACGTTATGCTACTATGATGATATCTACGATACTCTCCAGGCGGGCTGGGCGATCTAGCTGGCGAAGATGCAAAAGACTGTGGGGCTGATGATGCAGGGGATCTTTCGTAGAGCCTTGTTTGTCGCCCTCTTGGAGTAGATGAGTCTCGATATGATGGACTGTCTGCTGGATATTGTCTACGTGACAAACGACTGGGTATTTCAACTGGTTCGTCATCATCGCCAATGGAGAACCCTTTGCGAAGTGGGGTATGACTTGTTCTACTGTAATTAGAATATCGGTCTCGATCATCTTCTATATTCGATGACCTCTGCTTATGACTGGTAGATGAATACAATTGTTCTTTATGAGACCTACTATCAATATCTGAAGATCTTTTCGTTCGGGGTTCATATGTGTCGTATCCATTGGGCGTTGCCGGAGTGCTTGGTGACGATACAGAGCTGAGCGAACTTTGACTAGATCGTGTACGAGAGTTGTTGAGATATGAAGCTGAATGCGCAGTATCATCACGTGAACCACCAGTCGAATGCTTAGACAGGGGATTCCTCGAATAACCAGTGCGATCGCCATATCTGTCGTCATCCAACGGTAACACGGTGGAATGACTAGCCGATCTCGAGTCTAGGTCTGATCTGCGGGCATCATAAACTTTATCGCCACGACTGTCTTCATATACCAAATCGCTACGACGATCGCGCCTACTATCGCGATCCCTACGATAGTCATCATAAGGGTCTTCGCGCCTGCCGCTACTGCTGCTGTTGTCATGAGATTTTCCATATCGTTTATCAGCATCATAGTCACGATCACGTCTCCGATCGCCGTATGCAGAATCGGTACGACTTTCGTGGTATTCTCTTTCATGACGACGAGCATCGTATGCTTCTGGTCGTCTGTCATCATAATCTCTACCGCCGCGGGAACGTTCATATCTATCATCGTTCACGTCATCACGGGAACGTTCATACCTGTCATCATACCCCTTTTCACGAGGACGTTCATATCTGTCATCATATCCTTTGTCGCGAGAACGCTCGTATCTATCAGGGTATTCTCTATCACGAGAGTGCTCGTATCTGTCATCATAATCTTTATTATGGAGACGGTCATATCTGTCTCCTCGTCTGTCTTCGTATGCGCCCGTCTCATCGTATTCACGATCCCGGCGTCTATCATCGTAGTCACGATCACGTCTATCATCGTACTTGTCACCACGTCTATCATCGTATTTGTCAAGTCGTCTATCATCATATCTTTCGGTTCGTCTGTCATCAAGTCTATCAGTTCGCCTGTCGTCGTACCTGTCACCTCGTCTATCATCATATTTATCAATTAATATGTCATCACCATCACGCCTTCTGTCATCGAGGTCTTTCTCTCGCAATCTGCTATGATCATAAAAGGCATCTGACCTTAACGGTGAGCTGCTGAATTTCTTGTCTGATTTAGTGATAGAATGTTCATCAAAATCAGCTCTCGAGAGCCGTGGTTCAAAAGTATAGTTGAGCTTGTCAAAATCAAAATAATCTCGGAATTCAGCTGACGTCTTTGGTCGCGGTGGAGGTTGTCTAGTGGGTGCTCTGATTGATTGCGAGTAAGGGATAGTCGGCTGTAGCTTCTCTTGATTATCCAACCACCTGAGTGGGGCAGGAAGCGGTGCAGACCATGACCCACGTCGTCGGAGGGTGGGTTGTTTTGACCTAGCATTAAACGTACCATCTTCTCTGGGAAACTTGCCATATTCCGTCCAATTGACAAACTCTCGACTATATTCTGATTCCAATGGGTTTGTTAAATCATCGGCCGCTTCCAAAACTTTTAATTGATCGTGAAGCGAATACATTGACTGTGAGCGTGATTTCTTCGAGAGCCGATTTGCCTCGAGCGCGACAATCTTCTTTGTCTTGTCATCCAATCGGAACTAACCATATTGGATTCATAAATGACGCCATACAAAAAATAATTAATTAGTTCCGACGGGTTCATTGTTTTACGTAATCAAAAATTCATAATGAGGGACAACAGAGTGACGACAATACAGCCTATCACTGTCTATAAGCCAATTATTTGTTGTTACCTCTTGTGCTTTGTCTTTGCGTAGAGAGTTACTCCAACTGTCATCGTTTCTGTGTGGAGAAATGTTTGCAACATTATTAACTAGAGATACCGGCTCTGCTACAAATGATCCATTGTGCTTGGGAGCATTCAAAAGTTTGTCCTCTGATGCTCTTAACTCTGGAGTTTTGGGTTGTGTCAATTCACGCACAGCATTTAATCGAGTGGGTTCTGTTATAGCGGCAGTAGAGTCGGGTGTGTTTGTTATCTTTTGTGGTTCTGGAGTGGCAGGCGCCGGAGAGGGTGCGGGAGAGCTAGCAGGCCAGGCAAATTCTCTTTGATATTCCGACTTTTTTCTTTCTGGTTTCAGACGCGATGGTGTAGGAGTCATTGGCAGTTTCCATGAATAGTCTTGTTGATAAGTAGTGTTTGCATCGCTTGCCGTTGGTTTCGGTACGGTATTAGTAGTTGTGCTGTCGTTTGGTTCGGCCGTCATTTTATTTAGTTAATTGAACAGAAACAGAAACAGAGAACTAGACTGACTACAAAAGTAATTTATCGTTTGACGGTTGGGCGTTCTCTGATTCTGTGGATTTTAAGCAATTTTCCTTGATTGACCGAGTGGCTTAAAAGGATATTTGAGAAGAGTCCATGAGATAGTTGTATATGTGTGTATGTGTATATATATATGTGTGTATATATATATGCAGATAATAGAAGCGGGAGTTTTTTCAAAGAGGAACAAGTTTACGAAAGTAAAAAAGTGCTAGTTCCGAGTAAAGTTGTTCAACAATTTGACGTCGGAACAAGAAATGGAAATAGACTTGTTCTATAATAAGTAAGGAAGGGGGGTTAATTTGATATGAAAGGACAAGTTAGTTGTTGAACAAGGTAATAAAACAAGAAGACTAGCTGAAGCTTTTTGCCCCCCTGTTGTAGGATTGTTATTTATTATTACTCTTAGAATTATTTTGTGTAAGATTATTGTATATTTCTGTTTGTTGTAGAGTGCTTTTCTGTCACTGTTCTGTACTCTCTGTTTATAGCAATGAGCATATAGTCTGGGGGCGGGAGAAGGAGAGTATCAGTCTTTGAAAAGAAGAACAGTTACCCGCTACCACTCAAGGAAAAGGGTGAGAAGGGGGAAAATGGGTTATATAAGAATGAGAAGCGGGGAAAGGTTGAATACAGAGTTGGTGCAACTGGGCGGAAGGGAGGTGCAACAGCCGGGTGGCGAAATATCCAGACACGGCAGGAATCGCAGACATTTTGGTCATAACATCCATGACAAACTGTGCTTTGTGATACCGAGTTATGGTGTTACTCTTTATAGAGAAGTAAAGTTTTCGCAGCAATTAATATTAAAATTAATTAGTGTCATAATTGATGTTTAATGCGTACTTTTTGTTCTGTAATAAACCACTAAGGTTTTGTGTGCTTGTGTGCTCGTCCATTATTTATTGCCGCCCACCTCGTAAGTATTGTTGTTGTTATCATTCCACCATCCCACATTCCACCAAACCGAAAACAATGATCATCTGCTGCTTATCAATTTTCATTTACTTATGTGCGTATATTTACTATTTGTTTGTGTATCAGCCAGCCTGTGCAACGAATGTGTCAGTTCTGAGACTTGGAGAGAAAAAAAGAAGGGAAAATTTTTTATACACATTAGCATTTATGTCATTCCTTGGTTCTATTCCTGTTATATCATTGGTGCGATCATTTTCCTTTTACGGAACATGCTTGGGGGAATGTTGTAAATATTGTAAATATTGCAAGTTTGCTTTTCCCTCGCAACAAGAGAGAGCGAGAAAAGAAGAAAAGAGTGAGACAATTACTAACCCTGTCATTGTGAATTTTTTTTCCCTTGCTTCCCACTGGTTGGTGGAAATTTTCGAATATAGATGTAGATTACGTCGTCTGCATCAAACTTTTACCAGGATGGAGATTTGACTGTGTTAACTGCGTTTGGCTGCAGGGTTAACGGTTCCTATCCGCCCGCAGTTACACACAACCTTATCAGACTACTGAGAACATAATAATAATAATAATAACAAACTAACTGCTACTTTATCAATACTCCTGCGAACGGAAAATCTTAGTATCATGACGACAAGACAATTATTTCCTTACTAAAACGATGCTTTGCGAGTATCAGAACTGATAACGTATAATCTTCGGGTCGCACACATCTCTAAATGACATAAATCCATCAGACAATACTAATACTGTCATATGAGCAACGGTCCCATGAAGAGGAAAATTATGCTCGCCATCGGTAAATGGAATTCAAGCTACGTTATGAGGCCATGTTCGATTACGAATGGGGATATTTATCACAAGTGCTTCTAGTTCATTTTAAGCCCGATTCCGAAGGATTGTCTCAACTTTCAACGAATAACTCCTCAAGAGCATTTACGTTATACTAAACAAGTTAAAAGCATTCAAGCAAGGGGGGAAGGGTGTTGTCATTTCTCATGGCACAAAAACTTTTGACACTCGAAAAAGTCCCATTGCAGCAAAAACGATAACTGTATAACTGTATACTGTACAACTGTACAACTGTACAACTACAATATAACTATAACTATAGTTATTATTACTATATATTTATTTACATGCATGTATATAATAATAATGCCCCCCCCCCGTTTATACATTATTCTCTTTAATAACGCAATTTATCGTGAAAAGCTTCCCGCCCAGCACACATCTCTTCCCCTAAACTCCAGCTCTTATGTTACGTGTCACATTAATGTTACTCATTCGCTTTTCCCACATCTCCCCAAACGCCTTTTTACATGTCAGCGCCCGCACATCCTGTAAATAAAGATGTACAAGCTTCGATTTACAATTCGTTACGTTACGCAAACATCCATTTGCGAACAAAAGCCTTTTTAAACCCCAAACGATATTAATTTAATATGATATTGAATGGACAACACAATAATATAATATACCAAATGCAAATGAACAATTATCACAAAAAGACGAGCAATGGGAGGAAAAAATAGCACAGTCTGCAGAGGAGGCACATCTATTATATGTGAAACAGACAGGTGATTCCTGATGGCCTTCTCCTGCAAGTATTAAAACTCTTTGCCTTTTCATTCTTTTCTTGAACTTAATAACATCATCATATGTGCATACAGTAGACTCTACTATTGATCTCATATGATAATGTAACCATATAATCTATCCGTAATAACCGCCAAACATGCCCACCGCATTATAAATCCTGTTGCAAGTTGGCTGTTACGATCATCATCCTGTTATTATGGTCCAAAAAAGCAGGTTTTTCCTATCAACCCCCTAACGCGTATGTCTTTAGTTTCGTTGGTCTGGAATAGTCTATCAATATAGCGTTATGCTGGCACTGGACATACTAGCTTTTTATGGTTTCGTGCATCAAGCGCATTATGTGTTACTTCACTTTTAGCGAAAGTGTGCAGAATTTCTTTGTATGATAATTATTGCTGTGCCTATTACTATGTCTCGTATCCTAAGCTGTCAGCATCCAGAATGTCTTTCTTTGCATGGATAAAACAGTCACCAAAATTATCGAGTGTGCCAAGCGAGACAAAGTGAGCGTGCGTAACGCCTCAATTATCAGGTGCAGCTAATTATAAGTGTAAATGGGGCATGCTTGCAAGTAAAGTGAACATTTACATTTAATGGCTGGTGTGGCTAATTTGTTAACCAATATGGGTGATGAGAATCGTACAATTGTGAATGTTTACTGGCCTTAATTGGATTGACATTAATTATAGTAATAGGAAGTGATTTAGATGAAAAGGATTTAGCAAGATATTTTATTGGTTGTTGGATTTATCAAGACAGAATTGGAATTGGCATTCACCAACAAATAAATCAACGTGTGACTTTATCTGTTATTGCCAAGTTATGCAGAAAGCGCTAAAGCTAGTGTCTAAATCAACATTCACATTCATGGCAGCAATCACTTTCTGTAACATATAAGACTGAATGTAGTTTCTAAGTCTATAATAATAATAATAACATATTCTCTCCAAGTCTGTTCTAGTCAACTTACAACAGTTATGCATAGGGTTAAGCATAAACCAATACCAATAGAATAGAATCAAACACCATTTATATTAAGGAAAGCTTTGGGAGAAAAAATTGCCACCCCATTGATATTAATATGTGATTAAATGAATTGTATTGAAACTCTTCAGAAATATGTAGATAAAGAAAAGGTACATAATAAACAGTATAAAAAGAAAATAAATGAAGGAGTGCTATTATTTAACAAAACAGAAATTTATTAAAGAAAAAAGTGAAGGAAGAAGATCAACACATATGTCATTTGCAATCAAATTATTCATACCTACTTGAAATAATTGAGTAAAATTGAAGTGACTATACAAGCATAGAAGAATAAGTATAATATACTGAATTTTTACCCAAAAAAATTATCGACTCATTATTTTCTCACTTTAAATTTTTACAACTGTGTACCAGCACTCAGTTTTGCCAAAAAGGCAGGCTTAATTCTTCAATGAAAGGCTGCTGCCCAAGGACATGTTGAAGCACAGTACAATATATCACATTGGGATGTCTGCCTGTAAAACTGAATGCGGAAAAAGAAATATCTCTGGGAAACCTCCCATGTTCTTCATAATATCAAAGCACACATTCAAACACTACTGGAGGTTGAGCGGGTTTCTCATTACTCTGACTGCTATATATACTGCTGTAATGATTTATTTGCAGAAACGCAGTGTCTCTTTGTTTTCTATTCTAGAGAAATTGCCTTCCTCTTGTGAGTATTAGTTTTGGCATTTTGTCGTGAAAATGTAAGACACAACTGATCTAAATTTTGCAATGAGTTGTATGCAATTTTATAAAGGATGTTACTATAGACAAGGGTTATTATTTATATCTTGTTTATAAAATTTTGGTGACAGGAGAAAATTTGCATGATAATTGTGACTATAGACAGAGTTACCAATGATTGTTTAATTCCCCAGAAATTAGTTTATTATTTTGTAACTGTTTCTGTTCCAATCTGGCTTCAAGTTTAGCATAATATCTATCTATTTTTTCAATTTGGGTCTTAGGCTCCTGCCTTATCTTCATATTATCAGGCTTAATTATTAATTTCAGCATTCTTGTCTCAAGTTCAGAATTCGCTGCCTTAACAAATCAATCTCAGATTGCATGCTCAATAATGTATTCTTTAAAAGGTTGTTAACATAGATAAAAACCGTGATAAAACGCTCCGATTGAAAAAATTCCGGCAAGTTGGAGACTCCTGGTTCTTCCAGCTAAAGCGGAATAATAATAAATTTAATTAAAATTGCAATAAAAAAAACCCAGCGTCGGTTAATTATTTTTAAACGCAAATGTAAATTCATCATTGCCCTAGCGGGCTTATAATATCCACTTAAAAGTCCCCGGAATACTGTTACACAACACGGTCATTTCTCTTTCATTCACTGCCAAAACATTGTCAGCGTTTGATTATATTTC